AACAGTGGGCTTCTTTCTGTCTTTTCAGTCAATCACGGGGAGTGACAAATGGCAGATGGTTAATCTGGATATTCCCGTCGGTTCCACCACTTTCCCTGTCTTTGGTCTGGAGAAGGCAAAATCCTACTGTTTCCGAGTACGGTCGGTGAACAAGTATGGAGTGAGCGATCCTTCTTTGCCCAGTGACCCTATCTCTCTGGGAAAAAAAGATTGGTAATCTCTCATTCTTTTTCTTCTAATTGTCACTAAATAAAATCTAGTAAATCCTGCTGTTGGCTGGAGAATTCTGGGGATTGACATCCACATGTCTTAACGTTGCTCAGGTTGAGAAACACTAGTTTAGCTGATAGAAATTGGCGAAGAGTTGAAAGGAAGCACAATGGTTTTCCTTAAAAGCATAGTTGCTGCTTTTAAGTTTTTGTTTTTTCCCCATCTTTTGTTTTTTTAGCTCCGCTTCCACCCCCATCTCAAGTCCTGACTTTCAGAGATACCAAGACATCTGTGGTCGTGCAGTGGAACAAGCCAAGAAAAGGAGAGGAACCACTGGGTTATTACATCTATTGCCGGGAAGTTGGGACAGATGAATGGCAAACAGTCAACAACAAACCTGTCACTTCTCATGAGTGAGTTCATTTGTTGATCCTTTCCATCTCTTTTAGGCATTTCTGAGAGAGGAGCGGGAAAATGGCACCTTATTTTGTGGTTTCAAAACAAGGAAAGGAAGAATGCTGTTATCGTGTGGATTCAGTTCCATTGAGCTAGTCCATATGTTCTCCCTAGTGTAGTATTTCTCAATCTTGGCAACTTTAAGGTGGGTGGATTTTAACCCCCAGAATTCCCCAGATTCCCAATTCTGGATCTTGAAGTTTACACACCTTAAAGTTGTTAAGATTCAGAAACACTGCTCCAGTGTGATAAATCAGTACTAAGAAATAACATTGAAGAATGGATGGGTGAATTTCTGTTTTGTTTCTTAGATTTACTGTTCCGGGACTCAAAACTGGTAAACAATATGTCTTCTGTGTCAAATGTGTCAATGAAGCTGGTGTAGGAGAAAGCTCCCCAGAATCTGATCCCATTGTTGTGAGACAGGCAATCTGTAAGTACCTATTGTGGTATTGTTGTGTGATTCCTTTACTTGTGTCTGATCCAGAGCACCCTCCTTTAACCTGGTGCTGAAATCATAACTTCCACTATAACCAGCCTCCATGGCGGCTTGTGATGAGAAGTTTAATCCAATACATTTAGAGAAGATCAAGTTTGGGAAGGATGGATTGTGTAAGGTTAGGAAAAACTTTGGGTCACTATGTGCTACCATGAAATCTAGGAGGAAGGCAAGAACAGGTAAGTGGAGGAGGAAAGGAGAGGAAGAAGGGGAAGGGAAAGGAGAAGTAAGGAGGGGAGGGGAGACAATTTTTGGGGATGTGACCAAGATTCTCTGTTTTTCTTCAGCTTTGGAAATGATGGGAGAAATTTTTATTTTGACATTTCTAGCCTAAAAATAGCAGAAGATCGTTACCATTTTTACAATGGGCCAAAATGGAAATACCAAGGTGTTCTGACACACACACACATACCCCGGCCTGTGAATACACCAGAACACAGACTTGGCTGTTTGCCACTGCTCAATTACTGAGATAACGAATCCTTTGGCTGACAGTCCAGGCAACTCACGTTCAATACAGTAGATCTGCAGCAACCCAAATAATTCAAACGAAACAATGCAGATAGTCCAAATGAACAGACACAGCTAGAATACACAGATAGATTTTATTAACTACTAATTCGAACAGTTGTTTCCTGAAAATGTCCCCTCCCAACGCCTTACCTATAATCTCTCTTGGGAGGGGCCAATCAACAACCACCTGTGCTTAAACATCTTCTGTGAGTCTGCCTATGGAGTTGCTGCTTTCGTTTCTCAGCCCTTCTCAATCTAGCATCAGGGACAAACTGCTTTTGATCCTCCCCATTGCTCCATGCCCCACGTCCCTCCTGGTGGCCAACCAGCCTCTCTGGTCCCTGCTCTGAGTCTGAACCCTGTCCAGGGTCCTCCACATCTTCCATGGCAGACTCATATGGTTCCTCGCTATCCGAGTCCATCAGCAGCTCCACTGGATCCTGCTGGGCCACAACACAAGGCTACATTTTTTTAAATTTTTTTTATTTAGTTAAACATGTACAAGATAGCAGGTATAAATATGGACATGAACAAAGGAAATGAGTACAATTAAATAGAGACAGTAGGACAGGGATGAAAGATGCTTATGCACGCCCCCTTTACGGATCTCTTAGGAATGGGGTGAGGTCCACGACAGACAGTTTAAGGTTGAAGCTGTGAGGGTTTGAAGATGTAACAACAGAGTCAGGTAGTGTATTCCAGGCATTGACCACTCTGTTGCTGAAGTCGTATTTTCTGCAATCGAGTTTGGAGCGGTTCACCTTGAGTTTGTATCAATTGTTTGCCTCGTGTATTATTGAGGTTGAAGCTGAAGTAGTCGTTGACAGGTAGGACGTTGTAGCAGACAATTTTGTGTACTTTGCCCCAGGATTTTAAGCAGATAAGCAGCATGTTGATGAGATGCCCATCGTCCATGATATTTCCATGTTTTCCCTTCCTTGCAGCTCTTCCATCCACCCTACGAGATTTTGCCCTGCTGAACTGTGGGAAGGACACCATGACCATAGGCTGGAAGCCTCCGAAACGCAAAGGAGGTTCAAAGATTCTGGGCTATTTCTTGGATCAGCATGATACATCACAGACTGACTGGCATGAGACCAATATTAAGCCCATTCCTGAACGGGTT